AGCCCAGCAAGCTGGTGGTGGTGGTGGCAGGTGAGATGCAGAGCCCCATCCGCTGCCACGGGTTTCCTTCCCGGTTTCCATCCCTTCCCTGATCCCCAAATGTGTCTTTTTGTTCCCCCTTTTTAACATGTTTCTGCTCAGGAGCCGAGGGGGCTTCACGGCGTTCCCTCGCGAGGGAATGAATATTTAATGGTGGACAGGGCATCTGCTCAAGGACTCTCCGTGCCAGCGACGAAGCCTTCCCAGAGAGCAGCCTGCCTCCTTTTCGCCTCCTGCCTTGGTATTTTGGCCTGTAGAAAATGTCCCAATCTTTGGGGTTTTGTTTGTTTTTCCTATTTAGAGACCCAGGGAGGGGAGACCCTGTCGTGGCTGTGTCCTGGGGTCAGAAGCCTTCCCAAATCACAGCAGGCTGTGTCTGTGCTGTGCACAAGTTATTCCCAAAAAAGACATTGGGAAGTCATTGCACCTGCCTGGAAGCCGTTGCAGGTGGGTGCTGGTGCGTACCCAGCAGAAGCTCCTTCATGGAGCCCCGGCCCAGTCTGGGTTTCCTTCAGCTTCCACGGAAACCTTCCCGGTAGGAGCCAGGCCTGGTGTCACCCTTGGTCATCGTCGCTGCTCGCCGTGGAGGGGCAGGGAAACGTCACCACGCTGCCCAGGAGCTGTTGGCTGCTCTTTCCCGTGTGGTTTTTCTTTTAGTCCCGTTGCCCTTGGCTGTTTTTAGGCTGTGGTTCAGCAACGAAGGTATCCTAGAGCGGGAAGGACACGCAGGGACTTAGCAGTGTGCTGCTCGTGTCCCGCTAGCCTGGGAGCAGAGAGCCCCTTGTCGAGTCACCGTGTGCGCAGGGAACGCCCGGCCCGGCAGAAATGTCCATGCAATTGCCCTGGAATGAGCAGGGAGCGGGTGCTGGAGCGGAGCACCAAGCATCCCGCTCGGGATGGAAGGAGTGGGAACAGCCGCGCCGAGGTGTGCGTGCTGTGCAAGGAATGATGCTGCAGCAGCCAGGGCTGGATTAGGCCAGTTAAAAGGTTTTTCCATCTTCTGCCTGCTGTAATATCCTGTGCAGGGGATGATCTGGACTTTTCCTTAAGCACCTTGAGTGCCGCCCTTCGGAGGGATTTGCTGGGGCCACCAGCGCGGCGCTGGCAGCGCGTCCCAGCCCGCGGCCGCCTCGCTGACCATGTTTGTGTTAGCGGGTGCCAAAACCCGCTCGCCGGCAGCTCCTGCGAGGAGCTTATTTACAAAAGGGGAAGCGCAGGAAAAGGGAAAAAGCAGAAGCACAGAACTTTTTTCTTTCTTTTTTCCTCCCCAACATAACTTGGTCATTAAAAGGCATAACCTTTGCCCATACCTCTTCCTCTCCTTTAAGCTCCCCACAAAAAAATATAAATATACACACACACGTGTGTGTGTGTGCATATATATGTATGTATGTAAATAAAGGCCTGTGACTTTGCTGATCCCATTCCAAGCGTTTTTGGCTGCCTGGTGCATGCAGGGCCCCCCCAGCCTGGTGCTTCTTTCCGGGTGCAGCCTGTGCAGGATGCAGGCCCGGGCTGCTATAAATTCAAGCTATGTTCCTAGGCTCCACCATGCCCTGCTTTTGTCATGCAAATGGCAGGCACAAAGTGTCCCTTTGATAATGTGCAGCCGGGAGACAAAAAAAGCATTCAGGGAGACGGTCAAACTAATTCAGAAAGTGGGGGGACAATAAGAAAGCATTAGGGATCGCTCCCGAAATTGCACCCCGCATAAGCTTATGGGGAGCAAGTGTGAAGAGGCGAAACGGGGGCCAAGTGCTGGAGCCGGGCAGGCTCCTGCACTGGGGCAGAGCTGCCGGGCGTGGGACGAGGCTGCACAAGGGGAGCCCTTGGGGGGCTGCACGGACCACGTTTGGGTGAGGAGGGGCCCTAAGGTGCAGCCCTGGCCCTGACGCCTGTGTTTGCTGCGGCTCTGCCCGCCGGAGCACCTCGGCCGCGTGGGAAGGGCAGAGGCTTTTGCTTTGAGTTGTGCCCTCCAAGCGCCGTTCATAAAGCGGCCAAGAGATGACGGAAAGTTGCGTTTTTCTCGGTGTCACTTTGATTTCTTTGTTACTGCTGAAACGGCCGCTCTGACTCCTATTTTGCATAGTTATTTTTACCTTTTCGCGCGTTCCTTAACTGTCTGCGTTAGCCTGGGCAAATCCCCCCGGGATAATTTTCAGCTGCGTGCGGCCTTTGATGGCGTTATTAAGCGATCGCTTCAGCACTCAGTCATTATTAAAGGCAGTAATAGGGAGCCTCCAAAACATGTTAGTGGTGCCAATGCTGTGTGGGATTTATGGCGAGGGGAAGGCAATGGGCGCTGTGTTCCAGGGCGGCCCGTTTCCTAATGGAAAGGCACAGGAGTTCCCGGGAAATAGCGGATTTGTCGCTCCCGTTTGTTGCCAACTCTGTTCCCACAAATGCCTCCTGTGCCCGCCTGCTTCCAACCAGCCCTCCCTGTGACCATGAGGAGCTGGGAAGGAGGCTGGGCCTGCCCGAATCCCAGGAATTGCGGCCTTGGTGCAGGTGGAAGGGAAATGCATCTGGCGGGACATGGTGGTGGCCCAAGGGGGTTCCCTTTGCCCCGCTCACGTGCTCCGATTCCCACCCCGACCTTGCAAACCAGTGAGCACTGGGAGCTGACAGCGGCGCGGGGGCTCCCGGGGCTGCGCGAGCGGCCCGTGCGCTGCTTTTAGGCACAATTGCAAACACGCGCGTGCAGATATGTGTATTTTATCCACACATCCGGGTGCCTTGTGGTGCCGTTAGCCCTGCCGGGCACAAAGCACCCCAAAAATGAAGGTGAGGACTGCGGGCAAGGGTCCCAGTCCCCCCATTGAGGCTCGTTGCTTCTGAGCCCGCACAGGGGCAGCTCGTGCAGCGCTCCGGCGTCTCCCGCCGTCGCGGCGCTTCCAGGTGCCTCAAACGGCTCGTGTGGCGTCGGGCGCAGGGAGCTCCCGCCAAGGGGGATTAGCCGAGGTCTCCTGGGCATCCTGTGACGGTGGCGCTCGTGGTTCTCCTGAAGTTAAAGTCGATGCTGTGCTAGGGTATGGAGTAAAGCAGCCCAGTATGACCTTAAGCGCACCGCAATTTAAGGAATTTGGGGTTTGGGACTTCTAAAGTAATTATTTCTACAGTGGCTGTGTTATTCTGGTGACTAATTTTATCCAGTCTTGTCTATTTGGGGGCAAAAAAAGTGCAGAACAATTGAAAATTGCTTAATGGAGACGGAGTTTGCAATTCCAATAGCTAGAGGCTGTCTAGTAATTATTGCTTGCTGCATGAAATTAGACACAGTTTGTTCAATTACTTAAAATTAGATCACGTGGAAGGTGGCAAAGTGAAATAAGGAGGGGAAAAAAAAAAGAATAATTTTGTCCTTGCTTGATAGTAAAGTAACAAAGCGGGAGTGAAGTGATAAAGATGAAAAAGTTACAACCTTTTCATTTGGAGTCTCTCAAAGAGAGGCTAAATGTTGTGTCTGGATAGAGGGACCTGAGTCAAGCACCACTGTTTGCTGTGGAGGAACGTGCACATAATGCAGGCTGTAAAATTGTCACTGCGTTTTTGCATGTTGGAAACACAAGCTGTCTGTGAAAATAAAGTTCCTTTCCCTGTTTCCTGCACTGCTCTACGGTTCTGTAGCCCTGGGAGCTTCACGTACAGGCAGGGAGCAGAGAGGAGTTGAGGGACACGCGGGTTATCCGTGCGCCGAATATCACCAAACAGGGGTTTTAAGAGAAGCGGAGGCTTTCTGGGGTGCCAGCTGCGTGCATATAAATGCCTATACGTGTATATACACACACATATATTCACCCGTTTCACTGCATCGCTGCTGGTTTTGGTAGCGAGGCCGAGCACCAGGCAGGGCCCTTTGAAACGGACCCATCAGGCAGGAGAAATAGAGCCCGAACCCCACGTTTGGTGACGGGAGGTTCCTCGGTCACGTAGCCCTCCCTTAGGCTTCAGATTAGGCTGTTTACAAGAACATATAAAATCTGCTCAATAGTTATGATAGCAATAGGGTTGCTGAGTTTTACGAGGTTTTAAATTCCTGCGCTGTGCAAGGGCTTGGGTTGTGTCTCTCGTAAGGCTCCGTGGGCGAAAGCATCCCGAGCGCGCCGGGAAAACAGTCGGAACTGCGTGGGGTGGGCAGCCCTGAGCCCCCGTTCGCCCGGCTCTGAACACCTTGATGGGATGAATGTCCTGATAAGAAGGGTCTGGTGGCCAGCCGGGTCTCAACCCTGTGTCCGGACAATGTCCTGCTGGGGCCTTCGGGACCGGTGGCTCCTGCCGCAACGCCGGGCTCTGCGGAGGGTCCTTCCCTTTGGAGGCAGCGGCCCCATTTTGGCGAGGAAAGGGTGGCAATGGGCAGCGCTGAGCTGGTTTTTTAAGCAATTTATTTGCGCAGAAGTGAGTTTTCTGAGAGAGCCATCGAGTTCTCACAAGAAACTTAATCGGGGTTTATTTTTAATGTTAGCCTCGGTGGAAACGGTGCTGCCTGCCCTTCGGGATGAGCGCAGCTACGAACGGCTCGCGGTTGCCCTCGCATTGGCCTGTGCGCAAAGCCCAGCATTTGGGTACGCGCAGGATGATGCCCTTCATCTTCCCCAGTTATTTTGGGGTGTTCCAAGCCCGCCCCGAGTCGGCGCGGTCTGAGCGGAGCCCCTGGCTCGCGGCGAGCGCGGCAGCTTTGCAGCCAGTGCAGCCAATTCCCCGGGGAAGGAACGGAGGTGCCGCCGCATCCTCAGCGGCTCCTTCTCCACTCCGCTAATCTTGGTAATTGGCTTGTCTTTTACTGCCATTAATTAAATGATGTAGTAGCCCATTAATAATTACAAAAGAGTGACACACCTCAGCATTTTCACCTTTCGGTAATAGATGTCACACTTCTGTTTTTACTATTTTTTTTTTTGAAATAAGATGCAGGCGAAGGAAACATTGTTTTAAACGTATGTGTTTATTTTGGTGTCTTATAGCACCCTTACCCCTCAGAAGAACAGAAAAAGCAGTTGGCACAAGACACAGGGCTCACTATACTGCAAGTGAACAACTGGTAAGTAAGTTTTTAGTGTTTCTGCGGGGCGCCGGGCCCCGCGGGCACTCCGTGGGGCGGGAGGGCCGGGGGGGACCGCGCGACTGCCGCTTGTCCCTGGGGCAGGAGCCCCAGAAAAGCGGGAACGGCTCCTGTTTATTTCCCGTTGTCGCTGCATCACAACGGAGGTTTCTGCCTCTGCGCTGGGGCAAGTGTCATATCTGAAGTGCATTGCAATCTAATACCTTGTAAAACCAAGTGTAGCTAATTAATTGTCCTAATATTTTTAGATTAGTGTTTATGATGGGAAACCTTATCCTCTTTGAAGTAATACCCAGAAAATGGCCAAGGCAACCAGCAAGCCTGCTGGGGAGGACGGAGGGAGGGATGCCAGTTTGCAGACAAAAGTATCTTTTCCCGTTCAATAAGTGTCAGAGATTAATATTACTGAAGCTCTGATTACATGGCCTAATCCATTTTAGTGAATAAATTTGGTCTCGATGTCCGTGGCACCTACATTACCAAACCCTCCTCTGTCAGAGGCACTCAGAGCCTATGGGAGAGATTGCAGATATATTAAACCCCATTACAGAAAATGTAATTTCTGTCAATATAATCCCGTGTATTCTTCAATTTAGTACTTTGGAGATAACAAGCTACTTACAATATATTTGCCTTGGGAGGATTAATTTAGCAAGAGCGCTATCTGGGCGGCGCAGGCGGCTCGCGCAGCGCGGCTCGTCCGGGTTATCGACGGCCCTGACCCTGCAGCCGCCCGGGCAGAGCCGCTTTTGAAGCCCTTTAAGACACCGAATAAAGGAGGAAATAAAAACCCCAAATACTTAAGTGCATGTGAAGCACGTTCCCAAGGGGTTCCCTTTCAAAAGGAGGCAAAAGACACTAAATAGGTAGGGAAAAGGGAGTTTGCAGGGGAGGAGGCGGCGCGCGGGATTCCCGGCCGGTGGAGGTGGGTGGGGAGCTGGGGAGACGGAGGCCATGGCAGAGCACGAGGGGCTCAGGGACCTGCAGAGCCAACGGCCCACTATGGGGCCACCTCTTCCCAATGGTTTTCCCCCAAATCCCTTCCCCTGCGGTGCGGGAAACGCGCTCCTTTTTGCCCCGACTGTTTGCTGCTAACGTGTCGTTCAGGGCCTGCTCTTTTCCTCGGCTGTCTCCCGAGTTATCCAGCCCCAGCTCTGACAAAATCTTGCCTTCCTCCTTAGATTCTCCAAAACTTGTTAACGCACATGTACATTTTTGTATTAATGATGAGTCACTGTAAATCACTGTTGCAGAGATTAAATAGAATGCTGAAGGGCAGGCTGGGTGCAGATCAGTCATAAATTATTGGCAGCAACACAGCATGTGGGAATACATGAAATGTGCATGAAAAACATAAACTCATGTCTGGTAGCATGGTAGTTAGCCCGGACTGGGAATGCTGGATTTTCTGGATGGAATTATAACTTTGCCACAGCGAAGCTAGTGAAGAGAGCATTTGTTTTCCGCAGATTGAAAGCATTTGAACGATTCTTTGGGTCATATTTTGGATGCCTTCACAGCATCCGCTGGTCGCATGCTTCGGCCTGCTGCTCGCAGGAAAAGCGGTGCTTTTCACGTGCCCTGTGCGCGGTGGTGCCCGCGGCTGCGAGCGCCGCGCGCCTTCGAGACGTTGCCGCTCCAACCCGAGACGCTTTTCCTTCTTTTTTAAGCAGTCCCATCCTCTGCGTGGGGGGCTTTTCTCCCTTTTGGAATTGCCGGGGATTTTGCCTGTGAATCAGCTGGGCTGCTTTATGGGGCACACCCGGTTTGGGTGTTTCTGTTGCGGGAAAAGGGACCCGCTACCCTATGGCAAAAGAATAATAAAGACCCATCCCTTGCAGTGCTGAGTTCAGTGTGTGATTGGCCTAAGCAAAGTGCTGGGCTTTTTGTCCTGCATGTTGGACCATCCCCTTGCATGTTGGACCATCCGCGTTACGGAGCGGGATGTGCCAGGAGAGCGGCCAACACCTGGATTCCGTGCCCTTGGCTCCCTCGGATGCCGGGTTGGGACGTGGTTTCCTAGGCTGGCCAAGCGGTGTCGTTGTATGGGTGTAAATGGGAGAGGAGGAGGAGGCCTGTGGCGAAGGCTCCGCCGGAGCGCGCGGCTCCCGCTCCTCTTCAGCTTCATCTATCGCTGCTTTTTGTTGCCGTAAACAGATTAAACCGGAAAAGGTCAAGATGCAATTTGAGTCTGTGTAATAACATAACAAATACTTTGCTCAGTAATCAGATACAGTAAATACAAGTACTTATTTACTTGTAAATGTTAAAACATTCACAAATTATCCTCTCGACTTTAGCGGTGCCAGCTTAATCAGGGAGCGTCGGATTTTGGAGGCTCTGCTGCTTTCTCTGCTTCCCGTAATTCGATAACACATTTGCAGATTTTAAGCACTGCTTGGTTAATGGGAGCACGTGTGAAAGCAGGAAAAAGAGAAGTGAGAGGAAATATATATGTATATATACAATTGGCACTTGCAGCGTGCATGTTGTGTGTGCTATTGCAAGGCAAAATAAGACGGTGTGTGTTGGTGATGTGAAAATCTTGCTCATCCTCCCCCAGGAAGACGCCCGTCACGAAATGCCAAGCGCAGCATCGTGAAGGGCTCGTGCTGGCTGGGTGCTGGGCCCCGGGAGCAGTCCCGCGGCCGCGCGGTGAATGAGCTCTCCTAAACGCGCCATGTGCCGTGCTCTCGCAGCAGATTTTTGCATTTATGTTTTCACTAAGTCTTAGCTAATTGTTATGCCTTTCACCTTGAATGCCAATTGTGATAGTAATGCCGCATCTGTAGCGCGTTCCTCTGTTCTTAAATTACAGCAATCAGGAGCGCTCGCTAGGTAAAGTACTGTGTAGTTACTCGTAAGAAAATACTGAAATCGGGCAAAAAGTGTTTGGCCTTGGCCAGGGCTGGTGAGCCACCAAAGTGCCCTTAGAGAAGCTGAAGCCAGGGGACACAGTTGCCATCGGGTCCCCTCTCTGCAGAGGAGCCTGTTTTGCTGGAAACCCGCAAATACGTCGGGTAAGGAACTGGAGGGAAGGGTGCTGCACCGCGGTGGCGAGCAATGCACGGGGTTTGGGGCTCCTCTTGGGCAAAAGAGGGGCTTTTATTGGGGGGAAAAAGGCACCCTTGGTGTGATACCTGTGCCTGGGTGTCCCTGCTGGAGCTGGGGGTTGGACTGGATGATCTCCAGAGGTCCCTTCCGACCTCAACCCTTCTGTGATTCGGTGGCATCAGGAGAGCAGGAGCAGGGGAGAGCGGCGGGCCGCGTTCTCTCTGCAAGTCGGGCCCTGGTCTGTTCCTGTCAGATTCCTGTTCTGTGCGGGCGGTCGGGGCCCAACGAGAGCCCCTCTTGCCCGCACTGCGCCGGCAGCTCGGGAAGACCCAGCCCGGGGTATGAAAAATGGGGCAAATGCCGCCTCCCAGCTGGATAGAGCCATTTTCCGCTCTCAGAAATGCACCGCGCCAGAGGCAGATGGAGGGGAAGTGCCTTGGAGGGCGTGCGTTTTGCCCTGGCTGCCCTTAAACGGGGCTGCTGAAGTGATGGATGGCTGTCGGTGCCAGCCAGCCAGCTAACGAGTCGCCTGGTTTTTCAGCTTATTTTGAAAAAGAAAAGAAACAGCAGCAGATACTGCTGGGGAAAAAAAAAAAAAATAAAAAGCATTACTCCGGCAGTCCTTCTCAAAATCTAGGTCATGTTACAGTTTCATGGGTTATTATTATTTTCCCTCTGCCCGGGCCGCGTAGTCCTTGTGGCTCTTTGGCTAATGACAAAGTGTGGTGGTTGAGATGCAGCAAGAGGAATTGCTGCTTAACCCCGAGCTGCCCGGGGCTGCTGCTCCGCTGGAGCCAGGGGCTCCCTGCCGGGGGGCTGGCCAGGAGCTCGGGTGTCCCGGGGTCTCCCGCACCGCTCTGGGTCTCCTCGGACCTACCCGAGCGTGTTGTGTTTCCCCCATTTTGGGGGCTATCAGTTCCCCTTGCCGGGATCGCGTGCCGTAAGGAGCAGGGTTACAAGCCAGTAGCTGGCCCTGCTCAATGGAAAATTCCCTCCAGGTGAAAATTCCCTCCAGGCAGGTTGTTGGGAGTGCTGTGGGGCAGCGCTCGGGAAGAGGCCGTCTCGGTGGGGAGGTTGCCAAGGCGGGCGAGTTTTGGGGGGTTGTGCTTCGGAGCTGTGGTTTTATGACCATCTTTTGCGACTCCTGCCGAAACAAGACAAGAAAAGGGCAGCAGAAAGCCCCAGTGTGGTTTGAAAGCGCTCCACAGGTGCCCACATCCCACGGAACGCACCGAGGCGCTGGCGCCCGTGGCCTCCGGAGCAGTAGGGAGGACCAGGCTGCAGGAATCGGAGCTTCCCGCGTGCACCTCCAGTGGATTCCTTGCGGAGCGGGTAGGAGCGATGCTGGAGCGGGCTCCCACGTCACATGGGGATCACAGCTCAAGCGCAGGGGCCCATTCCATGTTCTCCTCCATGGGGTCCTTTCCCCCACGGGCCTTCTCGGGCGTTTTTGGCTGCTGACTCTCCAGGTCTCCTCTTCTGCCATGCGGTTATTCCTTCCCTATTCCCGTGCAGCCTTTTGGGGAGCGCGCAGGGATCCGCCTGTGCGCGGCCGGAGCCTCTCCCGGGCCTGGAGGTGAGTGGGGCCACGTGACGCTTGTGAGGCCGGCCCTGCAGCCCGGCTCAGCAAAGCAGAGCTGGACTGGGAACAGGGAAAGGCCCTCCCGAGGCTCCCCCAGCACCGCGCTCACGCGAGGGCAGCACCGGGAGCCGCTTCCCGCCGGGAGCTGCGTCCCGCAGGCCCTGGAGCGACGCAGGACGCGGCTCCGGCGGCCTCGCCGCTCCCGTCCCGCTGCTGCCCGCGCCGGGGTCGCGCCGTCCTGCTCCGAGCCAGCAGCTATTTTGGAAAGGGAGCTGCCGAGCCGCACATGGCTTTCATTAGTGCTTTACATCAAATTTGTCAGCTAATTAGTGGTTTTTCATCACTAGTTTTGCATAGTATTTTATTTGCTCGCTCTTCAGTACTGTCCTGCACCGGCGCGGCCCCGTGCGCCCGGCGCGGGAGGAGCCCGGGCTCCAGGCTGCCCGGCTCCGCGGATCCCTGCGCTTCTGTTCTCCCCTTCTCCTCCTCCTCCTCCACAAATAAAGGCAGCACAGAGAGCAGGGATTGCTAATGACTGCTAGTTAGGGGTCATTAAGCTCACTAACTGACCTCGGGACCAGAACTTCTTAATAACTGCTCTAAGAGCTCTTTTAGCGTTTCTTCCTCGTTTCGGGGATGGGGAGATGGGATTGCCATTCAAAAGTCTGCATTTATTTTTGCCGTTCATAATTGCAGAGGGAGCTTTATTTATTTATTTTATTTTTAAGGCGGCCTTTAAAACATTTGAAAGCAGCCTGCAAAGTAACTCCCAGGGCTTTCTTTTTCCGTTGCGTTAACTGACTCCTTTTAAAAAGCCGTGGAAAAACAAATTCGCAGGGAAATATTTCGCAATAAGGAATAAAGCAGTTAGCGAGGTGCAATAAACCCGGAATCGGCGTTTATGGCGCACTTTTTCATTTAAATTGTGTCTATTCGAGATAAGCCGGTTAAGCATCAGGGGATTAAGCGGTGATTGGAGAAGGTTGCTTTGCTGCTCCATGGAGGCGCGGAGCCGGAGCGAGGCCGGGGGATCCTGCGCCGCTGGGAAGGACTTGGGCTCCATGGCATCTTCCCCCACAGGAGGCTGTAGAGCCGGGCTTTGCAGGGATGCTTTGTGTTTGGCAAACAAATTCAGGAATGCAAGGGGGAGAGGGTTGCTTCTTCCTCCATGGAGTAGGGACTGGTGGTCGTGCGCGTTGGGGGCGCAGGGGCCACGTTGGGACAGCGACACTGGGCAAGCGGCCCCGTGCGGGAGGCCAAACGTGGGACTCCTGGCCCAGCAACCACCCCTCGTCCCCAAGAAGGGCTCTGAGGAGCCGGGAAGGGCCTCGCTGCGGAGCTGCCCGGGAAGCGCCGGCTGGTGCAGCCCGAAGGGGGCCGGGAGAAGTTTGCGCTTGAAAAAAATAAATAGCAGCGGCCTCAAACGCCTGTGTTTGCCCAACTGTTCAAATGTCTCTGCTGGGCCAGATCCTCCCCTTTGCAAAAAAAAAAGAAAAAAAAAAAGTGTGTGTGTGTGTGTATATATATGTATATATGCACACACAGAGGCATGCATGTATATATACTGCAAGAGCGGCTGCACCTCCTTTGGTCTTGGAAAGGGCTGCAGCTTGTGCGCCAGAGACCCCGTTTTGCCGCTTCTTAGAGGGGGGAGAAACCCCTCCACGTCTGTGGAAAAGTGTCCCCAAACGGAGCTCTCCTCCTTGCGAGAGCCTCACACAGCGATCCGCTCCCGAGAGCAAAGTCGGGTGGGTGTTTTAGGAAGTTTTGTGCTTAGTCGTATTCCGAGAAAACTAAGTTTGAGGAGCACTGAATGTAAAAGTACCTGGTGATTTGGGTTCTGATTCCTCCCTGTTTTTAAAAATCAAGGTGCTTTGGGGTGTTTTTTCCTCCCCAAAGAGGGATGAACGTGCACGCACAGGAGGAGGGGTAGCGAGAGCCCTTCTGCTGACTTTTTGTCCCACTGTTTTTGCTGGTGCTGCTTCCAATGGGCATTTTGGAAATGCAGATCGTCATGGAAAGCCCTTCCATCAAAGGGAGAAACAGAGAGGCTGAAGAAATTGTCCCTGTGGCTGCACGTCTTCCCGGCCATGGCCGAATTACACTTTTGCTAGCAAGGAGTCCTCGAAAGTGATTTATAAGCGTGACAGAAGTGCCTTGTGCTCTCTCGGGGCAAGAGACATTAAGAGTTTTAATCTGGTGGGTTCTTATGAATTCCAGGTTTGGGATGCAGGAAGAGACTTGAAAGTGAATGCTTTTTTTCTTTCTCTTTCTTTCTCTTTTCTTTTTCCTCTTTTTTTTTTCAATGCATTGCAGTTTGGAGTGGACTATAATGCAAAGTAAAGCGCTGTGTGTTACAAAGGCAGGGAGGATGGGACAGAAGGTTAAAGGGCATCCTGGAAACAAACAGCTGGACCAGTTTATTTAAACAGATACAAGGATGGGGAGCTGACCTCCGTTTGACTTCTAGGGGGAGGAGCAAGAATGTCATTTTATTACTTTGCCCAGAAGGGAAATGTTCTTGTGTCTGAATTCCCCCCGAAGACGTCCAAACACAGGGCGGTTCCGCAGAGCCGCTGCTTGGAGGGAGCGGGACGGGGGCGACCGCTGGGTACCTGCATGGAAAACCTCCCTAAAGCAGCCCCGGGCGGGCGGTGGCTCCCTGGAGACTCCCCAATGGATCATTTTGGGAAAAGTCTTGCTGGGCAAGTCGCAGCAAAGCCAGCCCTGCTCCCCCGTCGCCTCCGAGGCGCTTGGGCTTTGCTGCGGGAGCTGGAGGAATCTGTGTGTGCAAACCAGTGGACGCCCTCGGCGTTTCTGCTTCCTTCTTTGGGAGGAAACTTTTGGCAAAGGGGGGTTCGGGGCAGCCTCTGGTGGCCCCCCAAAATCCCCCCTCGCACTGCAGGAGCGGCCAGGCTTCAGGCTTGTTGTTTTACTTGGGAGAGTTGCTGTGCAAATTGCTTTCTGCAGATGCAGATTACAGATATTAAACAATTTTCTAATTGGTCATGGAGCTAAGGCAGCTAATGGGGGGAAAAAAGCACGTTTTTTTAATTGCTTATTTCACGTGCTGCTTGTGCTACACCTGTGCTTATAATGAGAAAGGAGAATTAGTCTAACCTTCTGCTCCCGTGATTCGGATTTTCACGGTTTGTACAAGATAATGATAAACTGATTCGCAACAGCCCGGGCTGGAGTTGGGGCTTTTGCTTCCTGATTCTCCAAGAGGCGAGCGCAGAAACTGCCCCAGCGCTGCTGCTGACAACCCACCACCCAATCCCTGTTTCCAGAAGGTTTCCCAGCGTTTGCACCTTTGCGGGATGGAGCCGGCCTGGCCCATTCCAGCGGGACAGGTTGGATGAGGACTCGCATCTCACTTAGTTTCTGCAGGACTTTATGGAAGCTGGCCAGGAATGGGAGCTACGGGAGCTGTGGGAGCCCAGGGTGGTCCTCCTTCCTTTGCAAGTAAATAGGGAGGAATGCTTTTCTGTCCGTCTTTCTGTCCGTCTCTCTCAGTTTTTATCTCCTTTGAAGGCTGCTTTAGAAGAGTTCTCTGCAAACAAAAATGGGCATGGAGCTCCTTTTGTTTGTTTCCCCTGTTTTCTGCTTCCTTTTCTGATTAAGAGGAGCCACGGGAGGAGTTCTCCTGGTGGTGACGCTTTTGTGGCCCTGGATGTGAGCGCCCTGTGTGGAGGGGACTGCTGTGATTTCTCGCCGTGCTTTGATCCAACTTCATTTGGAGCAGTTTTCTCCCCCCAGAGTAACAGCGACGAGATGAACAGAGGTTAAGTGCTGAAAAAAAAAAATAAAGAGGAAGGAGTAGGGCCACTCACAAGTATTTTTGCAATGGACTCTACCTTTTTTTGTTGTTGTTATTCTTGTTATTATTTCAGAAGCTGCTCTGCTTTTCCGTGTTGGCGGGGAATTTTCRGTAGTCCCGTAATTGCAGTTTAACAAGATGTTTGCTGTAAATGGTCAGGCCGAGCTGGAGAAAACAGGATTATAAATTCAATTACTGTAAAGCCCTGACCTCGCCTTGACCCCCTCGGGCTGTGCGCGGGGCGGCGGGGGAGCAGGGGGAGCCCACCAGGACACGGACACGGCCGCAAGGAATGCGGCGCCGCGTGCCCCAAAGCTCCCGCCGCTCCCCCGCGGATGGTGCTCGCCCGCTCCTAGGGCTGGGGCAGGATTTAGGGTTGCGAGAGGTAGGGTTTGCGTAAAAGGTACTGTGAAAACGGGAAGAAGGAAGGCAGGGAATGCAACGTGGCCCACTTGGGGAGGTTGGGGATGYCCTCAGGAGCATCTCGGCTCTTCCTCCATGGGGCGTCCCGCGTTCCATGTGGGAAGGAGCAGGGCAGGCGCCGGGTCTCGTTCCCAAGGAAGGGGCGGCGGGGTGCAAAGCGGGGCAGGATGGAYGGAGGGGCTGGGGGCCTGAGCTCGCGGCAGCCACGTGCGGCCCCTCCGCTAACCACGTGCCCTCCTCTTTCCTGTCTGCTTGCAGGTTTATTAACGCGAGAAGAAGAATAGTTCAGCCCATGATAGACCAGTCCAACCGAGCAGGCAAGTCCCCCGCAGCAGCTGGACGAGTCCTGCGGGCCAGAACCACCCTCGAACCGGTCCCCGGGTCCCTGATCCTTTCATGCTAACTCAGGGTTGTGGAGGGAGACACGGTTAAAAGCCAAAAAAGAACCCGGAATGTGCTGCGTGCCGGGCGCCTCCGAGCACATTTGGGATTCCTGGGAGCTGGTTGTGCTCCCAGCGCGCGCTCCCCGGTGCCTGGCTTGGCGGGGAACTGCCGTAAACTTTATTACCTGTCAAAAGGGCAGAGGGGTCAGAGGCGCTTGTGGGACTCAGTAAAGTTCAAAGCCGCTCAGTGAGGTAGAGCCTGATGTGCTTTAACAACCCCGGGCAGCTTCCTTCTGGAGYCGCCGTTTCATGTGCAGCCACAGCCCGGCGCCCAGGTAGCGGCACTCGGCCCYGCGCCTTTGGGCTCCCCCCTGGGGCTCCCGGTGGGTTTCCCGGGACAGCGGGTGTTTTTCCCCGTGCGTTTCCCGTGCCGCAGCCTTGGCCGGCAGCTTGGGCGGGTATTTCCCCGCGAGGAGCAGCGCTCGGCCTTGCTCCTGCTTGCCRGGCCCTCTGGCCACGCTGTGCAGGCCACTCGGGCCGTTTCAGCTCCGTGCCGTGCACATGTCCCGGGCCCTGCTCTTACGGGGACGCCCGAGGGTAACTTAACACACTGAGAGCTGCGCGGGGCCGCTCGAGCCATAAAATCCGGCTCCTCGGCAGGTCCTGCCATTGACGTCAGCGGCCGCGGCAGCTGGAGCCGGGGCTCGCCGCGGTCGCTCCCTCGCGTTGCTGACTTCGCTTCGAACCTCCCGCTTGCTTCTGCCCCCTCTTCCTCGCTGGCAGGCGAGCCCCGGGCGTGCCAAGCCAAAAAGCAGGGCTTTGGTGGGGCTGTTGGCCCCCGTGAGAGCGCGCGGTGGCCGGTGGGCGCGCGGCGGGGCGGTGGTGCCGCTGGTAACGCTCCGTGCTGTGCGCTCCCGCAGTGAGCCAAGGAACGCCGTACAACCCCGACGGGCAGCCCATGGGCGGCTTCGTGATGGACGGGCAGCAGCACATGGGCATCAGAGCGCCAGGTAAGGGGCACTCGGGGACGCAYGGGGACGTCGCTGCCGCGGCGCCGCACTGCCCGCCCTGCTCACCGCCCGGCCTCTTCTCCTGCTCCTCTCTCCCCGCAGGACCCATGAGCGGAATGGGCATGAATATGGGCATGGAGGGGCAGTGGCACTACATGTAACCGCCACCGAGGGCACCAGTGGCAAAGCCAGGGGGACGTAAGTACCACCAGGGGCTCGCGCCGCCTCCTTGCCTCCCGCGCGCGGCCCGTGCCGGTGCCACCGCGCTGCCCGACGGCGCTGGGCAGGGGGGGACGCTGGCAAAGGGAGGGGGAAAGGGCCCGTTGTCCTGGCAACGGGCTGATTTGCAAAATGTGAGCGGTCGGCGGCGGCGCGGGGAGAGGAAAGAGCATGTCCCCAAAGTGTCATAAATCTGTCCAAGCGCAGTTGATGCATGAGTTACGTTTCGCCGCTAACCTGCGAGACACCAAAAAAGCCAAACACAGACCGCTTTTAGGGAAAATAAACACCAGCTTCACTTCATTAATGTTTTTGGAAGAGCCAGCAACTCAACTTTGATTTTTCCCCCCCCCCCTTTTTTTTCTTTCTTTCTTTTTTCTTTTTTTTGCAAGTTTATTTCTCTTTGTCTGTCCGTCATAATGGGATTACGTGTGGCAAAGGAAAAAGAGAGAATACAAAATAGAGGTGTGCACAGCAGGCTATGGAGCTTAGCCCAGGCTAATTGACTATATCCAAATTAAGTATGCCATCACTTGCAGTGTGACAAATGGATTTGACTTATTCAGTATACAAAAATAGAGATCATTAATGCAATCTTCAGTGGCAGGCCTCGTGAAGAAAGCCTAGAAAAACTGCCCCAGATTTTTTCTTCTTCTTTTTTTTTTTTTTTCATTCTTGTCTTCTTTTTTTTTTTTTTTTTTTGGGGAAAATACAGAGGTGCCCCGGCACCGTGTTTAGCTGCCCCCCCAGCCCTGTTGTTTCTGCTTTGTTTCCCAAGTTAAAAGCAGTCCCTTGGGCATCTTTGTTGTGCCCGCGGTGGCAGGCGCGCGGAGCGGCCGGAGCCGCGGGTGCCTGACCGGCCTGGGTGCGAGTCGGAGAGAAGTTTTAACAAAGAGCTGCCCAAACAGCCCCCTGAGCTTGGGAATGCAGCGGCCTTATTACCTCACCGCGGAAATTCCTAGCTTAGTTAATTTAAATATTGTTTCTTAGTTTCTGGGTCAATTAAATTTAAATGATGTATTTTATGCTTCGTGACCAATTAAATTAATAGGTTATTACAAAAAATATTATCATCTTTTTTGATTAAAGAGCTGTGAGTACAGTATATTTTATAAGCAATTTTCATTAGTTCAAAAATGTTCCTTTAGGCTAGATTAAGCAGCTATTCATTGCGAGAGCCTTGAGACCTGATTCCAAGGTGTTCACGGCGCACCACTACTTAGAACCAAAGCCAATTGAACCTACTTAGCGGCCCCGTATGCCTTCACCCCCGATGATTATGGAGCTTATAGCTCTCCGAAACAATACACCTGTCAGTTCCCATCAGCGCCAGCAATCCGAGCAGAAGGCAGAGCCCCGCGGAAAGCGGGAGCTTTTATTGTTTTAGGCCCAATTTTGCTTGTTGGGCGCCCGGGCCCTGAAAGGTCCGCAGCGGCCCGCGTTCCTGCGGGCAGGAGCGAGCGCGGGGAAGGAATTAATTGATAACCGCTATCGATTTTGCGTTGTTTTCTTTTCTTTTTTTTTTTTTTTGGTTTATGCATGCGTTTGGAAACACAGGTTGGCTTTAGCCATCCCCCTTCGTAATCCTCTCGGTGTCGGCGCGGTGCGAGGCCTTTGTGCGGCCTCCTGCGCGGCGCGCGCCGGAGCCGAGCGCGCAAACGCGGCGCCGAATCCCGGCC